CTCTTGCGGCAGCACAGTTCTTTTACGGCAGCACAATTCATCTTTCGGATTCCTCCGAAGCAAGTGAGTGTACTTCTTTTCCTGTCCTGTTAGACACTCACTTGGGAAATGCGCGCAATCGTTCTCCCTGCCAGCTGCCTCGTGACGAGTTATAAAGTTTGTAACGTCACATTAAATTTAGCTAAGTGCAGTGACTAAAATAATTCAGTGGTTTTAACGTCGTAGGCTTAATCGGATGGGATGCAGGATAAAGACCGAGGTTCTGCGTTTCCTCCAGCTTGCAGTTGTCAAGGATAGCGACAAGCGCGAGCTGGAGGCGGAGCTATTTTCTGCTGGCCTTCTCGGTGTGGTTCAACCCACGGTACCACCAGGGTGCACTCTGTACCACCTAATGCCGATTATACACACGCACTCGGCATAATTTGATATTACGAGAGCGCCAGAGTGTTTCATGCCCCAGTAGACTTCCGATGATATGCCTATTAGTTCATCGACAATGCAAGGCGCGCTTTGCTTTACGGATTACACCTTTATGTGAAGATGCGTGCGTTCTGAGCTGCACAGGAAACAAAAGGACGTTAAAAAAAATGGAAATAATATAAAAACCAGAAGCGCGCAGGTATTCGGCATTACTTGGTCGCCGTGAGCTTGTTTACAAACAGACAAAAATATAGCTGACACGAATATGCCACCGTTCCACGGCAAAACGGTACTTTGCCTCATCTTATTATTAACTAACTACAAAGGCTGTGCAAGTGCGAGCGGGTAGCCTTGGTCGCCTCGACTGGCAGTAGCTGCACGAGCGCTGGCGCAGCCGCCAAGAAGTGACCCAAAACAATTAGCTCGCGCCTTTATCATTCATGACTAACCATAGTCAATGTTAGGGTGAGACGAACTTCAGCTCGATACAGAAGACCCTGTCTAACACATTCGAAAGATAAGGAAGAGAAAACTCAACCTGAAACAGACGCCTGCGCATTGAACCACCCTTAGCATCGCTCCACCTTATGTGAGAGCGAAGCCGAAGCTACAGGCGCAATAATGCTTCTCGAAACAATTCCTGCATGATCGTTCGGGCGAGGTAGGATCACCCAGCCATCCCCTCCTCTATACTCAGAATCTATGGCAGTTCTACAACGGAGCCATAGAGTGCCCGGCCGCGGATTTGGAGAGCGAAGATCTTGTATCACAGAGCATCTAAAAGCCATTTCTTGGGGAACCTGGACGTCAGCACAGAGATTTTACAGTTGCGAGGATCCGAAACACAGTTTCGGATTCTCACGTCGCGCCGCAGAGCCTTGGTGCAGCGAGAAGACGCTGCGTTTTGTCGTCTTGCCGCCGCGGGACGTTAGTCACGTGTGTCTTTTCTCATCCGTTGTCTACCGCTCCAACTTTTCCATTTCGGCGGTTGTTTTTCCTTGCGATCTGCCACGCTTTGTCAGTGTTAGTGCCACTAAATAAGATAAGGTTTAAGTAAGGACACTTCGCCATACTGTAACTTTGAAATCGTGGTTGCCAATGATCTGAAGCTTTATCTGAAATCACAGGAAACGCTTTTCCGTCCTCCAAAAATGTTCAAACAATTCGCGACAAAGCAAAACAGTCTTACATGAGCTTCCCAACACGCAATTCAACGCTGAGGTAGTCGCATTTTTGAGTCATGACGATCGCCAGTTGCGTCTGCTCAGGACAAGCACAAAAATGGCAGCGCCCACAACAGTGTCGGCGAGCGGAGTGCCAATACTCTAAAGGCAGCTCAATTAGTGACTGTAGTCAGTAGTTTTTTTGCCGAACACATGTAATGTGTTATGCAAAAGAAACGCCCAGGGATTTCATTTCGCTTACAACTTCTTTTTTTCAACTTGTCTAGATGAAGGTATGTTGGCCTACAAACTAATTTATTTCTGGGTTTAAAGAAAATTGCTTTTATTTTATTAGGGCATAATTCAAGAGAATTTGCGTTTACGTATTTTTGCAAACTTCTAAAACGCCTTTTAGCTTCTGAAGCCATATCAGTCGAGTCAGTACCAGTAATGAGAAAAGTCATATCACCGGCGTAGGCAATAATTTTTGCTAATGTCATTATATTCAAAACGTTATTAATGTAAAGTATGAGAAGAAGAGGGCCTAATATGCTGCCCTAAGGCATATCTATTTTAATAGTATCAAGTGGAAAAAAAGAAGAGTTTATGTGAACGCACGAAGACCGTTGCGGCTAATAAGATTGAATTAACATTGCGGCACTTCCTCTTATACCATAAGCATAAAGGTTAAGGTTCAATATATTATGGTTAATGTGGTCAAACACATTAGTGAGGTCGATAAACGTTCCCATGATATACGTTTGTTTTAATGCTTAACAATTAGTTTGTGGACATCGCATGTTTAGTTCCGGTTTCGCCGCACTCTTAGTTTCGGTTTCGCCTCCGGCGTCTGGCAACTAGAGTACGGAGAGGTATACCGTCGGGGAGCACGGGCGTTTCAGTAAAGAGTTTCGAGTTACGCTTTCGGAATCGGAGGGACGCGCCCGCACCAGGGCCAACGCGCTCATGTATTGCTATACTTTGTGTAGTCAAGTATGATAAATAGTTTTTGTAAACCGGACATCTCCACTACAAGCTACTTTTGTGTTAACAATGCGGTTTTTGTTGACCTGTGTTTACTAAAACCAAATTGCGAGCTATTTATAATACAGTATTTGTTCAAACATTTGGTAAGCCTTGAATAAATTATTTTCTAAAGACCCTTAGACAGTACGGATAAAATTGATATTGGCCTATATAGATATTGATCGTGTTTTTTGTCACCAACTTTGTGCAGCACCGTTACTTTTGCCTTTTGCACTTCTTTTAGAGAAACACTGGTCGTTTAAGCGAGGTTAACATATACTGAAAGAAGGTTAAATTATATTAGTGACATATTTGATAGGTTTAATTTGCCATCTATTTACGTCCTGAGATCGGCTACTTTTATGATTTAGGAACATGTCAAATCACTTCAATTGCTGCAATTACTGTAGTAGTAAAAAACAACATAGATACATTAACAATGTATCACGAAGTTACCGAGGATCTATGGTATAATCTGTTGGTTTCACCAAATTCGCAAGGAATTATTAAAAGTGGTATCAAGCTGTAAATCGGTCAACTTGCTTCCATCTAGCTTAACATCAAATTCAAAACGTTTTTTGCTGGTTTAAAAAAAAAAAATTGACGAGTTTCCATAAAATAGCTTTCTTTTGTCTTACTGTGTCATAGAACAGATCGAAATAGAAATTCAAATTAGCATGTTTAAATTAGGAATTTAGATTCTTACGGAAGTATACATAAGCACATACTTGACTTGGATCCCTGTTTTTAATTTTTTTTTCTAAAGCTTTTGTTATATGTTTTCTTTATGGACTATCTCAGGTCTTTCGAACTTGCTTCCCTGCACTCGAAGTTCCACTCTCGAGACGGCTGAAGACCTCGTTGAGCACTTGTACATGTCTTCTAGAGTTTCGCTGGCCACCAAGATATCGTCTAGGTACACTGTTACCTGTTATGAGCCTGTCAACACTCTGTCCACGGTTCTTGGGAACGGGCCAGAGCCTCAAACTCACCATGCGGCAAGCGACGCATCTTGTAAGGGCCCTAACTCTCTTTGCCGTCAAAAGTTCCGCAGATGCGTCATCACCACACAGTTGCTCATAGGCCTGCGTCAAGCCGAACTTTGATAGAAAAGGGCATTACCTAGTCTTAAGAGAAGCTCCCGGTTTGAAGGTAATGGATAAACGTGGCTCCTTACCGCTTTTTTTACCGTGCTTCTGTTGTCCCCTCATATCCGCAGGGACCCATTCTTCTTCGAGACGACATCAGGTGTGGCCCATTCGGACTGTTCGGTTGGTTGCAGTATCTCTTGCTGTTTCAAATTATTCAGCTTATTCCGATGTCATCTCTGAATACGAACGGAATGCTGCTGCATTATTAAAAACGTCGGCAGAGCGTCTGGCTTGGGCTCGTTGTGAATCGGTGGAAGGTTAGCGCCGGCAAAAGGCTCGCTGAAAACCTTTAGCCATCTTCCGACGCCGGTGTCCTTCCCGGCACTAACTTTGAGCAAGCCCGTCAATCCCACATCGAGTGGCTTGAAAAAATGGCATCCCAGCAGCTGCATTATTTTTGACGCCCAAAAAGGGGAGGTGGTGACTGCGTCCTTGAACTTGTTATGCACTCCCGCTTTTCCCGAAATTTCGAGCCACTTCAGTTTTCAGGCCACAAGTTGCGTCTCCGGTCCTTCCAGAAAAAGGTGTTTCTTCGCCTGCAGCTTCTGGAAATGCTTCTGGCTAATAATTGATCGGGCCGCGCCTGAATCTACCTCCCTGGGCACGGTTTCGTCATCCATATTTACGGCGATTATGTACTTCGGACAGCCGTTCCTCACTTGATTGATGCTGAGGAAACCGTCGTACTCTGCCTTGGCGGAATTCTTCGAATCGTCCGAATGATGACACACCTACTTGTTCTTGAGTCACGCTTTTGACGTGTTCCCTTTCATGAGGAGCTAAAGCAGACTGCGTTCTTGAACTTGCAGCGTGTGGCTCTCTGGTTGCCAAGGTATCGCGAACAATGCCGGTAAAGACGCTAACTTGGCGTTTTTTTTTCTTTTTTTCGCTCCTTGGCTGGCTGGTTCACGTTCCGGAACGGTGCTGCAACTTTCGCGGAAACTTCTACGTGATGTCCTTGCCTTTGCCACTTGCTACTTATAACTTGTTGCTGCTTTGCAGTTTTCTCTGATCTAACGGCTAGCTTTTATGTTGTCTTGAACGTCAATTTTTTTTCCGCTAACAAAGCCTGCTGCACATCGCGGTCCCCAATTCCAAAAATCAGTCGGTCACGCGGGATTATGTGAAGTGGAAATGCCTGAACGCCAAACCCGCAGTTTTTGGCTAGTTTCCATAAGGCGAAGACGTAATTATAGCCACGAACTCTCTGTCTTGGTGGTCACCTCTTGAGAAAACATACCTTGATTTGAGTGCGGACGGCTTCGGCGTGATGTTGTTCCGGACAGCGTCTACGATGACCTTACGTTCCACGTTGGGAGGTCGAAGAGACTTGACAAGTTTCACAATTAGGGCGTACGTTGCTCGCCCACAGCAGCTGGTTAACACAGCTTTCTTTTCGGAGTCCTTTTCCAACTTGTTAGTTGCGCAGAATAATTCGACGAGTTTCACATAATCCTCCTGAGACGAACCACCGTTCAGGTCGAACTCACAAATTCAGGTCCCGAAAGCGATCTTGCCGGCTGCCTCCGGCCCTCATGAATTAGAGCATGTCTCGTCGCCACGGTAGTGACCGAAGTGGACGCCAGCAACTCTGCTTCAAAAATGCACTTATTTTAACAACAAACCGGTTGAACTAGAAGCGACGCAGGCGGGGCGCCGATGCTTATCGGTGCGCGAGGCGAGACAACAACACGTACCGAAAAGGATACGTTTGCAACTTGCTGCTGCATCACATGAAACTTTCCGTAAAAAATATATGTATTTTACCGATCGGGCACATTTTTTTGCGAAGTTCAAGTTGTCATCAAAAGTTGAACGATAAAAGCTAGAACAAACGTATAATTTGGAAAAACACATTTACATCCCAGAAAACTTATTAAATTTTTAGAAATAATCTTTGAGGATCGAGTTTAGGTCTGAATTGATTCTCCGCATAGAGAAACGTTTGTTTTTTTTTTGTTTTTTGTTGCTTTTTTTTACCAGGAAGAATGTTTATTTATAAATTTAGACATCAATGTTCCTCCCATTACAAAAATGGGGGTGAAGATGATATCAAAAGAGATTGCGTGAACAGACTCCTTGCAGTTGTTGAAGGCATGCGAGTTGCGTAAACTGTTCGTTGTTCACCGTATAAAACAATGTGCGTATTGAGTTATCAGACGAATCGAGGGATTTCGTTGCCTGGGTCTAACTATATGCGGACGTCTTTGAACAATCCGAACAATTTGTGGTACCTAGCGCTTTGAGATGAACTTGCTCTTTCCATGACGTGTGCACTTCATAGATGAGAAATAAAACTGTGGATCTCTTGAGTATTTAGAGTTGGTGATGGTAAAACTGTTCTTTTCTCAAAAAAATAAGTAAGTAATATATATTCTCGCCATTTGTGTGTAGATTTTGTGTTCCAAAAATTAATGGCGTTTATTTCAAATTATCTAATAAACCTTTTATTTAAAAAAAAAAATACCTTGAGCCGTCCGCATGTTTGTAAATGAAAAATTCGAAAAAAATATCCCTTTCCTGCTAAGAGTCGCCGGTTCCTTTATCTTTTTTGTTTTCGTTTATTTTTTATACCTACGTATTTATGCTTGTAAAAACCAGTCCGGCCATTTACCATCGTCTGTATGAACATTAGGTCCAATTATGACTAGCAGATCGCTCATTGTATTCACTTTAATTGATCCTTTGTATGGAGTTGATTCAGCTGGAAATGACTCAAATTATAGTGCCTCTGTCAACTCAATCTGATCCAATATGAATGTAAGTGACGCGATTCCACAAATAAATTCCTTCAAAAGGAAATAAACAAAAGTACGCAAAAAAAAAAGACGGAATGGCAGCACGTGTGACATAAAGACCGAAATTCACTCACATTGGATAAGTGAAGGTCTCAGTGTTGCTCGTTTCTTTTCTTAAGTCGCTCAGCTACGTGTTCGACACACGAGTGCAGTTGGGGAAAAGTGTGTCTGATTATAGAATGCCTAGATCTGTGTGACTAACATACCTCATGTAAATGTTGTTTTTTGTCCTGCCATTATACTCATCCGGTCTTCGGTGTGCTCGGTGTGTCTGCCGGCCAATTTCCTTTTTTTTTTACTGACTCCAGTCATTAATAGATTTTTTTAATAGGAAGGATGGTGTTTTGGAATAAATATAGGAGGCTGTATCCGGTTATCTCGGTCAGTGCCAGGAATCTTCAGCTTCGATTGTAGACGAGCCATATGCCTGATCCGGCTCTACACGTACGCCCTTGCGGCGCAGTCATTTGTTATTACCCGTACTGAGCCGGCGAGGCATCGTGTTCCCCGAGCATGTGGAGCGCGGCTGTATCACGCGTGGCCCATTGCTTTCCTTTTTGTCCTAAATTATGTATTTCTAACTTATGGTCGTGTCCTGAACCATTTGAAAAAGGGTTATCCAACTAAGAAAATATTAGGTAATTCTGAAATCTTGCTGTTTTAGCCTAAGACTATAAATAAATAATAAATTTTATTTTAATAGTCAGGTAACAACTACTGTAAATGAGTTCTTCCGATTGTATGAGTCATTCTTAACCCGCATATCAGTTACAAATTAAAAAGAAACAAATACCGGAGGAAACGCAACCGAAGAAAAAAAAACCAGATTTTTTCCACTACAACGGATATAAACACTAGCAGAACGTCAATATACGAGGAATTAATAGTCAAAAGTAACCACCATTTAGCCGTGAAAACATTAATTCTACTGATAGATTGATGCGCTGCAAATATGTTTTGAACTACCACAAGAGGGAGCTGTGCTGCCCCGCCTGTCGACTTGATGGGGAATGTCAACTGACCTAAGCCCTTTCAAAATGGCCGTCCATTTGTCAGCATGCACCAGGGGGGAACAGCATTCGGGTATTCTAGTTTCGGGCGCAGGGGTAAAAAAAAAAACACAAAAAAAAACCGGCGGATATTCATCACAGGATGCTGAAGCAGTACGGAGACACCTGTGTATCGCTTCGGCAGGTGTACGAGTGACACAAAACAAAGTGGAGCGTCACGTTTGGCGGACGCACCTCCCTCCGGTCGGCCTCACACTTGAACGACGCCGAACGCAATCGCTGCTGTGAAAACATGAAGTGGCTGAAGAACTGAATATTAGACACGGCTAGACGCACTATATCATTCATATGTTGTAGCACCACAAGGTATCCGCCATGTAAGTTCCGAAACAACTTACGCCGGAGATTAAGAAGGCGACGTCTGGATGCTTGTGAGGCGCTACTGCGACGCTACGAAGCCGAGGAAGATGCTTTTCTTCAACGCATTGTCACCTGTGATGAATGCTGTGCACATTACGCCCAGCAAGAGCCATAGCGAGCATCCAAGGCGTGTCAATACACAAAGTCACAAAGGCGCAAAAAGTTCAAGACAGCGCCAAAGGTGGGCAACTAATGCTCACGGTCTTTTGGGACATTAAAGGGGTACGGAAACAAAAATTGAAATATTCAAATTTCGTTCGGAAATGAGTCAAGCATGACGGATAATAACCGTAAATGATAATCGCACGTTTGTATTTTGAACGATTGGCTATATTTTTCGTTCCAAACGGTGCACTCGAGCCAGCGCTTGAAGAGATGCGAACGGACAGCGCGATGCGTCATGGGATATCCGGCGCAAACAAAAACAGAAAGAAAAGATTCCCCGCGTTCGTGACGTAACAAGGCAGGAGAGATTATGAGCTTTGCCCTTGGTGGCGTTGTCAGCGTTGTGGTGGTGTCAATAGCGTCAGCGCGTTCCAACCGAGCCGTTCGAAGTACCCGTGGGGTGACGAGCGTGTGGCTGGCCCAATGCGCACGTAGCTTTTACAACACTGTCAATTTAGGACTGAACGAGGTGGGGAAAGCAACTTTTGTTCGAGTTTTGAGCGACGGGCTAGTCTTCTAGGGGGAGAATGGCTGTTTCCGGTTGCACGTACGAGGGTCCGAGAAAGAGGGGAGTCCTTCCTTTCCGTCTTCTTGGACCGTTTGGTACAATGCGCGATTTGTGAGTTGAGGAGCAAAGGAAAACGTTGAAATGCCGAAGAGCGGCGCTGCTCCAAAGGAATCTGCTACGTCACGACTACGTAGCAGATTCCACAACGTTGGTAGACTACCTCCCAAATAGGCTCCGCATGCATCCACCAGGTGCACATTGAAGATCGTTTATTTAGCTTTAAAATTAGTTTTCTTGTGCTTTTCAACGGAAGGCTGGTGTTTTTGAGGTTAGGGTGCAACATGCATCATATTAAAGCTAGAAAACGAGCGCTCAAATTTCGTTTCCCTACCCTTTAAAGGCCGATAGTTGAACATTACATGCCCAAGGGACTAACATAACAGCGCTTCATACTGCAACCTGCTTGACAACCACCTGAAGCCTGCAATCAGCTCAAAACGTCGTGGATTGCTCATGTCTGTGGTGTTGCGGCAGCACGACAAATCGCACCCTCACACGGCAAGCATGACCGCGGAAAAATTCAAAGGACTGCACTTCGAGTGCATGCCGCACCCACCATACTCGCCACAATTCACACTGACTGATTTTTACCTATTCCGATCAATCAATGAGGTTCTCGTGAGAAATATTTTTGATGCAAATATTGAACCGAAAGCGGCGGTGCATTCCTGGCTCCCGTGTCAGCCCCAAGGTTGTTTTTTTTTTTTTTTTCAGCGTCATTTATGCATTAATGAAGCGTTCGCGCATATCTCTCGAGCGGGGATGTGACTGTGCTGAAAAGTACAGTCACATCCAGACAGAAAAGTAATAATGGGCTTTTTATAATATATATTCTACCACGTAACTAAAAAAACTAATTGCGGTTACTTTTTGACTCTTCCTCGTACATCGCGCGTATTTAAATTGCAATTTGTTCTACGAAAGCTACCCCAATTTTTTCTGACACAATGTAAACTACTGAGGCAACCCCTTCTATTAGGACATCTGGAAGGCCTTCTAAATCAAATAAAATGCGCTTTACATATTTATACATACATATTTATTCATATGACAAATAAGACTGGGCATTAGTGGCATATGAAATTTCAACGCAAATGAGTTCGTGAAGCTTTTCAGCTTACCTAGCGGCGTCTTTTTCATAATTTGCACGGTTTAAATTTAGCACCTGAGAAAATAGATGTATCATTTTCAGTTTAAAATTTAATTTTTTCACAATGTATGTGGCTTCTGTCTAATTATGTGTGTATGTGTGTATCTCTGTGTGTGTGTGTGTGTGTGTGCGCGCGCGCGTTTGTGTGAGCCTGCGTGTGTGTTTCGGGGGATATCATTTACGTGGCGCAATATATTGAAAAATAATTGCGATTATACATATCCTGATATACTTCTTTGGATATACTGGAATGAAATTTTTCGCCATAGCAGGCCGGGCTTTTTCTACAAACTTTCCGGAATCTATAGCCACAAATCCCCCTTCCTTGTTGGAAAGACATAGTCTAA